TTCCAAGAAACTGTTCCACTCTTCCTCATATGTTTCACTTACTTCCATCCTTATTCTTCCTCTCCGCAGCTGCCACCGCCACCAACAAAGCAGGGGGGGAAACAAACAAACAAAAACAAAATAAAAACAAAGCACACTGCTTGCCTCTGGGCTATTTGTGCATATTTTTCAGTTCTCTCACCACCTGAGAGTCAGCCATTCACGCTAGCTTTTGGGAAGAAATTACTTGCCATTCCCTGCCCAGATTTACCCATTCACTTCGGGATTCTACGGCCTATTTATTGGACCCGAAACTTCGAGAAAGCTTATCCGGATGGCAACAGTTGAAAAGCGAAATCAGAGCCGGTATCTATGCTGCCCCCTCCTCTCCAACCATAATACACCACCTGTGTTTTCTGCAAGCCAGGATAATTAGGTCTGTGGTACGACGACATCACATTAAGGTATGTATACTTCAGCAGGAAACATGAAACAAGACAGATCGATAAATCTTACAATACAAGATCGAAGTTTCAGACCAAGACCTAAAGTATTTCTTCGGGAGAAAGTTCTACAGGTCGGCTTTATATGTTCCAAATTGCCGGTTCTAACTTCAAGTAGGCTTCGAGGTGTGTTTTGGGGCAGAATTAACTTGTGGATCGGGCTCCAAAAAGCGTACACCCGACGCCTGACATTTAATCTCCTCTCCTTTCTCAGTCTTTTAATTTGACTGGTACAGCAGCAGCGGAAAGCTTGCAAAACGCTTGTGGTGGCTGCACCTACGACTTTATCTTGCTTGAAACTTTCGGGGTCCCGAATATATCCCTTAGCTCACTCCGGCGCAACAAGCGCACCAAACTGAACCATCCAGAACTAAGAAATTTACTACCTTCCCAAAGCGAAGAGCTAAGTGGGACCAAACACGTGGGCGAATTGGGGTGGGCACACGGCCGGAAGAAAGAACAAGGCTCGAACTCGGACTGATTCAAAACAAGCACCCCTCCGCAAAAGCTCCCCGTCAGGCGAGGTTCTCTTTGCGTGCCCCGAAATGAGCGGCAAACGCCCCAGCCACCCCACTGCAGAGCCCTTTAAGCTGCCCGAAGCCCAAGGCGAGCAGGGTGTGCCGGAGCCCCTGTGTAACCCGAAGCGCCTTTTCTTTCTACCTCAGTGAGAATCGTTAATTATTAGGTCTTCCCAAGGAAAGCTCAAATCACTCGGGCTGGGGGTAGAAAATGCTACCCAACAATGCGCGCCACATTCTTTCGTGCCTGCCTGAACTTCAGAGCACCAAGGCAAGGGCCGCGGCTCCGGGTTCGCTCAAGAACCGAGCCCTCCACTTCCCCCTTGCAAAGCAGCGCTGCCTCTTCCCCGCAGCCAAGGGAACCCCTCTCCCCAACACCCGTGGTTGCTTTGGCGGGGAACGGAGCCCCGGTCTTCCCACCTTCCTTTGGCCTCGGTTTTCCACCGCAAAGAGGGCCAAGCCCATCTCCCTGGCTCTTCCCATCCCCTTCCCACTGATTGTACGGCATTGGCTACACCCGTCCAGCCAACGTTAGGGTGCTTCACAAAAAAAAGAAAAAAAAAAGAAATTACCCGCTGCTTCACTAGCCGTTGGCACGCATGCAGGTTTCCTGCTCCAGATGTTGGCTAGCTGACGACGGCCACCTCAGCTGCCGTCAAATTGGGGTCGTAGCAACGCAACCCCCTTCCCGCCATAAGGATTTAACAGGACGTTGGGGTCAGCAATCGGGCAAAAGAGGAGAGCGAAGTAAATCTGCATGCAAACGCTCGAGCACGTGTGTGTGAGAGAGAAAGACAGAGAAAGCTTGAAGATGAGGAAAAAAAGTAAACATCCACAACGGGCAGAAAATTCAGAAAAACAATTGCTGAGGGTATCTCTTTAGAAGACATTCTGTAATTCTCCGAACCCAGGGAATAAAGAGCAACGAATGTTTACCTGTTAGTGAGAGGACAGACGGAGGCGCATGTTCTGCGGATTCCCAATTCCGCCTCTGTGAGTCGGTAACTGGCAAGTCAGATCGCCAATTTCTACATAAGAATCTGCCACCCAGTTTAAATGTCAATGACAATAAAAAAAAAAAAAAAAAGCCAGGGCGCTTAGCTTTGCACTAACTTTCCCTTAATATCAGCGCCAGCGCTTCCCTCATTGGCTGGGCTGCCCAGCTGACGTCACGGCGGAGAGCAGTTAGAGCGGCTAAGCTAATAAGCCATTTTCGAGGACGCAGGAGCTCCCGGCGCCGGGCTCGCTCACCTTCCCGCGGCCATTGCTGAAACTTCGAGGCGAGGCGCACGTGGACACTGCCGACCTGCGTCTCGAGTCTCTCTGCCCGTCCCTCAACACGTTGCGCTCGATCCGGCTGCACGAGCGGTTCTTTGCTCCGCTTCGCGGCAGACAGCTTATCAGAGATTGGGGTGGAGGGGGAGGAGTGCCCCCTCCTCTTCAAAAGTACCCCGATCTTCTTTTGAGCCTGCGTTTGCTTTTGGTCCCTTTTTCACGCTCACTCCATTGCCCTCCCCTGCCTCCATCCCCACGTTTTCACTCCGCTTTGAAAGCTCTCTTCTTCTGCTTTATTTCTGCGTACTGTACAGGAAAATCCGCTGTGTTATTTATAATGTTCGGCCAAGGAGTACTGAAAAGTCCCCGGACAGGTTACTAGGCTGGAGAACAACGGCCACAAGGGTGCTAGAGCATCTCGAGGAGGACGTGGCTTTTCTTCCTGAGCCTCTAAGGTGCAAAAACAAAAACCCTCCGCCCACGATTCAGAAAAGCCACCTTGGCTCCCAGATTTCTGCTTCTAGAACGGCTCCAGTCAAAATCTAACTCGAGCTTTTGGTTGGCGACCTCGGTTGCAGCAGCGGAGAAGGCCGGGCTGACAACGACCGACCGCGTTCACTCTTAGGCAGCCAAAGGTTTTCTGCAAATGCTCGGATGTCAGTGGGAAGGGTATGTTATGTATAAAATTGCCCAGCTAAAGAAAGGGGATCATTAAAAACAGGCACACACATGGAAAGAGAATTTTCAATGTAGATTGCTAGATATTCTGTTATTTCCTCGACTCTCCCCCCCAACCCCCCCACCCCGCTCAAGTTTCAATGAATTTAAAAGAGAACAAATAGACCGATTATGCCCTCTTTAAACATTAGGAGGCTGATCTTGGCAAAGTCAGGTTCTTTTCAGGAAGTGAAGACCCTTTTCCATGGGCTACACTCAATCCACTTGTCTTCTCTGTCTTTTAAAACACTTGTCCCTAGGCTGGGTCTGGTCTTTCCACTGCAGCGTCCTCCTGATTTACGTCTTTCTGAGGGACAGTTCCTGTATCTGGCGGGGGTGGGGGTGGGTGTTAGTGGAAGAAGGAGAGCTGGAGCTACAGAATGTGATAAGTTTGACTAAGTTTTCGCACCCACCAAATATTTTTCAATAGCAAGAACTTTACTGCCCTTTCCCAGTGACATTGCTGAGCTAAGTCCACTTGGAGTAGCCAGAAGTGAAGCTCTGTGCAAAGGGATGGTGAGCACAGTTCGGTTCTAGTCAGAATAATTTCCTAGAGCCATTGGTTTCTGTTCTAAGTACATGTCTTCTGCACCAGGTCTGGTTGGTGATTTTTTGGGGGGAAATGCATTTTTAATAAATCAAATTGGATCTCACAAGCTTAAAAATATGCCCATTCCTCTACTATTTGAACCATACGGAAGTGGGATTTTTGTTTTCTGGGAAGCAATGATAGTCCCTTTCCTATTAAGGCACTATTCAGAAATAAAGTCTTTTATACCTTGTCCATTAAAGTCAGTCAATGAGAACTTTCATTTTATTTTCTGGTCAGGTATTATTTATTAGGAAACCTTAAGAGACTTTAGTTCCATTTTACCTGTGAGTTTGCCTTCTTCATACAATGGCAATATTGAGTCAGGAGACCTGGACCATAGTGGAAAGTTTGCTGATGGGATTTAACTGCATATCAGTGTTTCAGAAAGATTTCTGGGGACAATGTCTACCACTGGATTCCTGAAAAGTGCAGGAAGAAAGAGCCTTCAGAAGAGTAGGTTTTCCCAGGCCTTTGCACCTCTCTCTTCCATAAGCAAGATTGTCTCCTCCCTCCCCACCTCACCCCCACATCCTACTTCCTTTCTTGACTCTTCCCTTTGACACACTTGCAGTGCACACTGATGCCTGACTACTCAGAAGTAGGCCCCAGGATGGGCGATTGATTTCCAGGGCTGCAACCCCCATTGCAAAAATATTGGAGCTAATTTAACTTCAAGGCACGGATGTACCCTTTTGTCATTTCTCAGTTTTCTTCATTGTATAAATAAACTTTGTACTAAATTAAGATGCTAAGTTGTTCTTCAAAGAATTTGGTGAGCATTTCTGTTAAATGTTTGCTTGTTTTGTCAGGTGCTTTCTTGAGAGGTTCCCTCACTTATCCAAACAAGTTTTCAGAAAAAAAACTACAAGAAAAGGATCCCTGATCCAGCAAAGCCCCCAAACCTGGGTTGAGGGAATAGTCGCTCCAGGTGGAATGCTTTCCCAGCAGCATCTCTATTGCAGAGAGACTCCAGACTGGCAAGAATGGGAGCCCAGTCTGTTGGTGCTCCATTTTTCCCTACCCATTCTCTTCAGGATAGGTTCCTAAGATCCTCAGGATCTTTGCCTTAGAGAACATTTGGCTGAGGAATCCTCGCAAATCATTTGTCTTGTAGAGACTTTAATGACAGCTGGACTGCATGAACACTCCCAGCTCATTCCCCAGTAGCATCCTCAAGCCCCAGGCTCAGGAAGGAGTCTTGGAGATCTGCCTCTGGTCACAGCAGAAAGCACTGGGATCCATGGATCAGTAGCCAGACATGCCAGAAATGGTTTCTTGAGATTTTGTATGCTTGGGGCTGGGGTGTGAACACGCAGAGATAAACTAAAATGCTGAAATAACCAGGAAGTTAACTCAGACCATCTCCTGGACCTCGAGCTAAGAGGAAGTCCAATCCTTAGAGATTTTGGAACTTACCTTTCCAGTGCTTGCTTAGGATCCAACCTTAAACTTCCCTCAATCCTTGCTGATTTCAGCCGACTTGACTTGTCTTCTGTGAAGTGAAAAGAATTCCTGAAGGAGACTGGGCTGGAGGCGGGAGAGGGGTGGGGATTTTCCCGGGCCTCACGCACAGACGGGGCTCCAGCTGAAGTACCCTTCAGTACATGATCAGAGGGCTCGATTCTTTTCATTCTACTCCAAGTATCAGTTCGCTATTTGGGTTCCCTCCCGCGCGCACGCGCGTTTACTAAACCCTCGACCTCTGTGGCGAGAGATAAATATGGGGGAAAGAAATTCTACGGAGAAAAAAGGCCCAGGCAAGGGAGACAGTGGGCCAAGGGGCCCACGTTGTCCCTCCCTCCCACCAGAACTGCTAAAGGGCCCCGGACGGTGGGAGGAAGACAGTCCGTCTCTGACTCTCGCCGGCTGCCCAGCCTTCCTCCTGCCTGTTTGTCCACGGCGCTTTCTAGGCCACGGGCGCTTTGCAGCGGGGCGAAGAGGGTTACGCTGCCCCCGGAAGGCTTCCCTCCAGAGGGGCGGGCTCGCTGGCCCACGACTTATCAGGCAGCCTGCTTGCCCAGTTGTTTGGAGTTGCTGCCATTAAGACTCGGGCTCCCTGCAACCCAGCAGGGTTCTCCAAGGAAGCGCTGGAAACGCCACGCTCCCGCCTGCTTATCTGGCTGTCAATAAAGGAGATGGCTCCGAAAAGCAGGGCCAGGTGCTGCCCTGCCTTCGCGCCAACCGGCGCGGCTCTTCAGAAACCGATCAGGCGTGAAGCCAAGGCTGCTTGGCCGGGCCTCTGCAGCGAGCAGACAAACAGTTCCCCGGCCAACGCCTGAGTGCCGCTCGCTTCGGTTCGCCTCGGGGGCGGCCCCTGGGCGCGCGCCGGGCTGGGTTAGAATTAAACACCGATCAAAGAAAGGCCGGGCCGGGGGTGCGGGGAACAGAAAAGGGGTCGTGGACAAACCCTTCGCTTTGGCCTGCCTGATCCTGACCCGATCTGGATTTAACAGCAAATGAAACGATAGGCCCGATCTTGTTCGATGGGCCCCTGAAAGGGGGGCGGAGGGGACTAAAAGAGGGCCGCTTTCCTGATCTTTCGGACAGCTCAGCCACCTCCATTGGATCAGATAGCAATTTAATTACCCGTTGCTTTTCTCCCACCCCCCACCCCCCACCCCGCCCCAACACATTTTCAGGCGATTTTCACTGTGTCTCCCTAGTGCGGAGTGACAAGCAATAGGAACTGAACACCGCTATCTCTCCGCACGCGCGTACGCGCTCACACTCGCAATCCCCTTAAGGCTCGCGTTGGAGAACGTCTGTGACCTCCTCTAAATTAAAGCCAACCAAGAGAGGCGCGGGATTAGAGTTGAAATACTCTCCACTAATTTCCTAGCCGCTTAGGGGTGATGTGCAAAGAATCTCCAAACTTTCCGCAATCAGCGACAGAGGTATCCCCTTAATCAGAATTTGTGGGCTTGGCAGAGGAGGCCTGGGATCTCCCATTTTCTCTCTCCACCCCCCCCCCCGCCCCCAGTTTGCAGGTTGATTCTTGTTCTTTTTCCTCTTTTCAACCGGCTTTATTGCACACCATTTATAGCTCTCCAAAGCTGGCGCCATGAAAGCTTCCCCTTTCCAGAGTGACATTAGCGGGGAAATTAACAGGCCGTCTAGGTAGATAAAGCGCTAATGAGGGCACTGAGCCCGGAAAGAGGGAGGGAGAAAAGCGAGCGCTGCTTTCAATGGAGGCGTTTTGCTGCTCCGGATTTCTGATGGACAGAAGACTTGAAAGCCGTGAAGCCTCTTTGAATGGGATGCAAGCAAGGAGCAACAGTAATGTGTTACAAATTTATAAGCACTCTACATATTTGATTTACACTGTGATAGCCCCCCTTCTCCTCTTTCTTTCTGCAACTCCCCCCCCCTCGTGTGTTCACTTAGATGGAGCAATTCTCAGCGCGCACACGCACGCACACACGCGCACACACAAGCTGTAATAATGAGGTTTAATTCTCTATCCAAGCAGAACTTGAGCAATAATAATAAGCCCATCAGAACAATTTGTTTACTGGCATCGAACAGACGGCAAAATAAGGTCCGAGAAAGACTGGCTGCTCGAAACAGTTTAAAGGGGGGAAAATGACTTCAAGCGAGTCAGAGAGAGGGGGAAAATCTGAGAAGACACAAGGCTTGAATTGAAGGCACAAAGGTGATGTTCCGATAAAAGGACTCTGATGGCTTTGTCCAAGGTATGTGTTTTTTAAAATTAGTCTTTTCATAGGAGTTAAGACTGATTTCAGAAGAGAAATACTCCCAATTGTCACCGGAACTTTATTTTTTTGTCACACAGAAGTCCATTTCTGTTTTATCTACTTAACTGCTTAAGTACCTTCCCTATTTATCTTGCAGGTTAACTTTTAGGATGAGGTTAAAAGACTTAAAGTAGGGTCAGTAATAAGAGGAAGAAACTACTGTTTTCCAAGAGGTAAAACATATAGGGTTAATATATAATCCAACTCGGATTAAAATCAATGACAAAACTTTCATTGGCTGTAATTGGTTCACGGTAGCTGTATTAACAGTCTCAGTCCAACCCTCCATTTATAAAATTGCAAGAGAGTTCGATCAGTAATTCTATGCTTTCAGCCAATAGACCTCCCGCTTCCCAATTGTACCACTGCCTGGTATAAGTTTATAATACTGGCAAATCTTGACATTGCTCTCATTCCTGTCCTAAGCACTTGATGAGAAAAATAACTTTTTCTGAAATTTGAGGGACCACATCATAGGTGTTCTGCATCCTGATAAGATGTAAAGGCTGTGAGTTTAAAGTTTTGGGGCCTAAGAACCCTTATTAGGGTAAAGCATCCTATTGAGTTCATTGGATTTCTGGGGAAATATATCTGTCTCCCTTTGTAAACAAAAGCAAGCCTTTTGGAAATGGAAAATGGGATTCCTTTTCAATTATGTCTCTTTTTTGTTGTTGTTGGGGGTGTGTGCTTCTGGTTATTAAAGAAAATTGGAACAAGGAAGAAGAATATTCAGGGCTCCCTAGATATGAGCAGACAATGTGATCCTCGTTGTCACACAGATGTAGCTCAGAAAAGAGTGTAGGTAGGAATACCATTCTGTAAAGAAGCTGCTTGAAACTGTGGAATCCCCACATTCTGGTTTGTCAGCTATTTCAGGAAGGATGGAAAGAAGAAAAGATGGAAGGATTTTAAACAGGATAGATAGGTACCCTTTTTTTAAAAAAAGAAACATTAGAATAATTTCTGTGAAATCTTAAGTGTGTACACTCCAGCAAATGCATAGAATTACATCCTTAATTTAAGATTTCTTTTGGGGGAGGGAGGAATCAAACTAATGGAAGAAGACAAGTCAGATTCCCCACGCTGGGCTTTTCTCCATTCTACCCTGCCTCCTTCAGGATTCTTAATGGTATTAATTTGGCTCCGAAGTGATCCAGGCTTATCTGGCACTCTCTCCTTCCATTCCCCCCTCCCACAATTTCTTAATAAACATGATGCTGGCAAATGTTGCTTGATTTGTTTTTCTGCCCCACGTCCCCGAGCATTTGTGCCCCCCCCCTTTCCTTTTTTCTCCCCGGACTGAGACATTAGCTGAATTCCCTGGGGGTGATTGGATGCAATTCGCTGAAAGTCGACAGGCACGTCCTGGATGTTAGAAATTCACTTTTCCTCGACGTGACAAGACTGAGTTCGATCTACAATTGCATTTGAAAGGGCAGTGAGCGGAAAGATCTCCCTATTATTAATGCTTCTCCTCTCCTTTAGCAAAATAACAAGATACTTCATTTGCACACACACACGCACACACCTTTAAAAAGAATAGGGGAAAATGCCTCGACCCTCAGTGAGTCTAACCATTATAAGCTCTCGCTGCATCATTTGCAATCAGGCAGGAGGGAAATAAAATAAATAAAAAATTAAAAGGAAGAGGTGCAAGAGTCTGTTTTCTCGGAAGGCATGGGAGCTTTCCCAAAGCGACCATGTGATCCAGTTGACTTTTTTTTTTTAACTTTAAATCTTGAATAAGATGTGAGTTGTAACAAGGGGATTTGCGCTTACTTCTTGACCCTTGTAATTGGATTAAATATAGACTGAGATGTACAAAACAGACCAAGATTGACATCTGCCAACTGGGCTTCCTTATGATTGATTGTGATGCTTCGTGCTGGCAACAATAATGAAATAAATTGTATGGATAAAGCAGCGCGTTTGTCATTTCCGTGCCATAAGAAAAAGGGACGTAGCTGAGCTGGCAAGCTGTTAGCTGACAGCCCAATACCGAGCGGGCACGTTTAAAGAGCTAAAACAAGGAGACCAGCCGCTGACAGGACAACTGATAACTTGTCACAACCTTCTTAAATCTTCAAGTTTGTCAATTAACATACAGATTGCTCTTCCGAGAGAAAAAAAGCCACGCACGAGCCCAGAACTCTTGAAACCCCGGGAGGGGCTAATATGGCGTCGTGGCTCCCTGCTTTCCTGGGCAGCGAGTCCTCAAGAGAGGAGCAGCCCCCCAAAAGTCGACCTCGGAGGCTGCATTGAAAGGGCACTCAACTTTCCTAGACAGGCGCAGAGGATCTGCAGGAAGCAGCTGGAAGGGCAGCGGCGCAGCCACTTAGCAGGATAATAAACAGCAGATGAGCTAGAGGGAGGCCGCCCGGGGAGGCGTTTAAGCCACCCAGAAAGGCTCGCTCTATGCGTGCGCTAGGAAGAGGCGAAGTCCGCGCAGGCCGCAGAGCCCAGCGCTGAGCGCCACGGGGTTTCTGGAGGAGCTCAAGCTAAAGGCTCCATTTGACCTTGGCAAGAAATAAAAAAGGGGTAGCGGGGGGCGGCGACAAGAAGAAAGCTGCGCTGGTCCCCCTTTAGCACGGAAGTCCTCCGGGGGAGATGGTGCAGGGGGTTGCCTCTGCCTTATCCCGCGGACGTGGGAGAAAACGCCCGATCTCCGCCCCCACCCGATTTCTTTCGCGAGTGCCCCGGTTTCAGCGAAAGCCGTCCGGAAGACTCCGAAGGCAGAGGCGCCGCGCCTCGCTGCAAGCCACGCCCTCCCGAACTTGGCAGCCCCTCGCGGCGGTCAGCGGGGTTCCCTCGTAGCCTGCCCTCCAAAGAGCTTCCAGAGCAACTGATTCCGCCGTTTGTTTTAGGGACGAGAAAGCAACCTCGTTTGCAGCGCCAGGCAAACTTTGCCTCAGTTATTTCCTGTCGCCTGTGAGCATTTT